TATTGGAAACTATGTAGAACAGATAGTTTCACATTGAAAACTTACTGTAGCATGTGAGTGTTGATCTACTGTAGTTGTAGCCTAGTTTCACATTTAAATGCAGATGCAGAAATATCAGTCTGTTCATAGCCTTTGTGCAGACTGAAATACATATATATATATATATATATATATATATATAAAGATCAATTGCCATAACATTTGGGACAGATATTCATGGTCCCCAGAGGATGAATCCTAATGTCTTTACTAAACCCCTGACTTTTCCTCTCATGAGGTTGACATTTGTGGTTCTGAAAGAAATCTCAACACCTATTGGATGGATTGCCATGAAGTTTGATACAGATGTTTATGTGCCCCACAGGATGAATTGTAAAAAATAAAATTGGTGATCTCTTAAAGGTGCTATTTGTACATTTTGCTATTGCTACATAGGAACAATCTTGTCAAGCGACAATCATCACCACCTGCTCCTAGCAAGAGACGATGTTCGGTTACAAATAGCCCCTTTAATTTTTCATCTACCACCATCATCAGGTCAAAATTCCACTTTGACCGATATTTTGGTTACGGACTAAATAAATGCTAAACTAATGACATTCCCACCAGCCTCAGCTATATCATGTTTTGAAACTAATATGGATACTATAGTCAACATTATAAATGGTTAACATCAGCATGTAAACATTGTAATTGTGAGCATGTTAGCATCAACATTAGCATTTATCTCAAGCACCACCACCAGTACAGCCTCACGGTGCTGCTAGCATATTTGTAGCCAGGATACAGACAGCTCTGCATCACAACAATGCACAAAGTGCTGCATTACGGTACTGGTGTATACAATGTGGGATGTCCAGACAGGATTTTACATCTCTTGCAAGTGATCACAACAACAACACAACATTTTCTTTCATCGTGACAACTGTGAAAAAATAAAAAATACAATGCAGTCCACCAGGAATGTGCACTTGCATGTATTTAACTGGCAAACACAGTGCCCTGCAAAATGACATTGCATTGTGTTTGAGCATTGGTTCAACTTTTTTACCATGCATTGGCATCTCTGCTGTGCCACCAGACTGACTCCATTGAAATTAATGAGAGGGCTGCACTTGTTCACACAGGGATACTGTTGATCTGAACGTGGCGTTAGTCCTGTTTTTCCTGTTTGCAGTGGTGGGAACAGACACACGAGAAAAGAGAATCTGCTTTTCATCTCCTTATTAATTGGCATTTCTGTCTGCCAGTTTCCCTCAAAACAAAATCATGTGACTGACTTCCAAGACAGACAAATAAAAAGCCAAACAGATGACTTGGTTTGGCTTCTTTACTACTAAAAGGGAATCAAGCTGCTCATGGTAAAAGCAAAGAATGGTTTCTGACTGACTCATTCAATGTAACTCTCCATTGCTCCAGGCTTTCTTTATCACAACATTAACCACAAAAACATTATTCTCAGATCAAATATCCAGTGGATTATTTGTTCAGATAATCATATGAAAGAACATATTCCTTGAAAACAAAAGTCAGGTCCACCATCGTCCTTCTCACAACTTACATTCCTGGAAACGATGGAGAATGTCTTACTTGGAAACACAGAGCGACCATATGACCTCAGTGCTTTCAACTTTTGCCAGATCCTGACCGGCATGTCACAAGCACTCATCACACCGAGTACAGTACGTGCAGCGGGTGCGGGGAGGTCAACAGCCAGCTCTGCTAAAAGTTTTTCCACTGTGACCACTGTGATGTCATGAAACATTTCAGGCACATCTTTTAAGTGGTTCCTCACTCTGATTTACATCAATGTGTAGATGGACCGCCACGATCATGTGAGGTGACCTCCCCCGCCTGCTCTTGATCTGCAGGGCAGCGGCTGGCGTGTTGCTTGAGCCAACATCTCACCATGTGGCAATGTGTGCACCACCATCCTTTAATCTGCAAGGCACGTGGCACGGGGGTAACCAGCAACACAGACCTGCACATGGCATGCTGTGACAAATGATCTGGAAGCAATAATAGGGACCCTGAAATCAAAACAGAGTTGCAAACTTGGTTTACTTTCCTCCCTCGCAGGGCATGCACAGAGGAATTTACAGCTGGGTTGCAAATAAAGGACAAGTTTCCTTTAAATCTCCATCATGTGATTCTGCTTCAGACGCTTTGCGGTAACAGCCTGGATCCAGAACCTCTTCTCAGCAGTGCTGCATCAGGGCTCAGAAAACTATCAAAAAACAACATGTTCTGTGGAATCTTTGTTCCCTTTGAAACAGAAACATGAATATAACTGTTTCTGGTTTCAGCCAGGTTTCAGTCTTTGTAAGTTGGAGTTCCCCTGAATTTTGACTCGTTTGAGAAGACCATGTAGCAACAATGGTATATATGGGATGATTTATAACTGTTGCACACTGTGTATTGAATCTACCAATAAAACAGCCCTACAATTAACAGCTATCTAAAGGAACAGTACATCAGTGACATGACAATAGGCACCTGACTAAAATAACTCACAGCAGCGACGACATCCACATCCACCAGGAATGAGTGGATAGCCGTTGAAAGATCAACACCAAAGACCATAATTGCCAGACATCATCAGGTGATATAGAATCTGAGATGCAGTTGAAGGTCTGTAAAAAATAAAAATAAAAATAGTAAACTAACCTTTAGGTAAGATTTTCTTGTCAAACAACCATCTGCAGCTTTAAAAACACTCACTAACACCAACATTGGACTGCTACCAAATTTGGCATTCTGGTGGGTTAAACCAGTGACATGTGCTTTTTGCAGTATGTCTGGCTGATGCAAGACACAGATGTTCCAGCTGTAAGACTTAAAAGAAGCTTTACTGGATGACCAGACAGTGACTAAAGAGGTTGTGGTTTGTTATATATGGGAGGCAGATAGTATCAATCAAGCTGAAGTGAGTTGCCAAATAAACACTGGGTGGTATGTTAGTTAGCATGAGGACATCAGACCAGAGCCAAACAGAGTGATGATAAATATGTAGTCAATATAATGATAAAAATATAAGAGGTAAAAAAAAAAAAAGTTTATAGAGATAGAAAGAAAAGGGCATTATTACATGCCTGGCTGAGAAAAGTGCATTTGTGTTTCTCTCTCTCTCGCTCTCTCTCTCTCTCTCTCTCGCTCTCTCTCTCTCTCTCTCTCTCCCCTTCTCTCTGTCCTCAGGTGCAATCAGCCTGATTGGCCTGCACCTGTGGAGTGTGGGTGCACCTGGACCACCTAATCACCTCCCCATACAAAAGGACCGTGCGTGCAGTGCTGTGTTCATTTCTTTTCTCCCTCTGCTTGCTGGAGCTGCTGGTTGTTGTGTGTGTTCGATTCGTGACTTTGAGCTAATTTAAGTAACTTAAAACAAGGTTTGTGGAGTGAGGTGGTGGATATAGGTAAGTCGGGGTACCCTTTATACAAAAGTTAAGTTTTATTTTGAGTCTAGCTAGGCCCAGTTTTATTGTACTTTTCAGTTTGTTTGGTACAACCACCTCGTCCCATCCTCCTCCACAATTGTATTTTGTTAATAGATTTCTGTTTTAATAAACCATTTTTCTTTACTCATGACATGGCTACTTGATTCAGATTTTGGTTTTCGTTTCGTCTCCTTTCTATCTTGCCACAAAAGGAGTTGTAACAGGCATGAATCATCATGGCTGTCCGAGAATTACTCAACTACACGAGAAGTGACACTCAGACCCGTATCTGGTGTCAAGTGAAGCATCCTAAAAATCATTTGTTTTTCATTTCAGTTAAACATGACAGTGGTGTGAAATGAAATATTTGAGTTTCTGTGATCCATTTTTTCTGGCATGACGTTTAGTAGGAGCATGAGTGGGGAAAAAAAATGCTCAGCAGGATGTTGCCACTTCACTGCTTCATGCACCAACACATGCTGATGTGTCATTACAGCTCAAGAATGTTGGTGGCATTCCTGGTTTATTACTGGTCACAATCCAAACTGTGTTATTACAGGGAGGTGTTACTTAAATGTTGAAAGATTACTAGTGAACATGTATAAGTGCATGTGTTGACTAATACTGCACAAATCAAAAGATACAAAAACTAAATTCAGAGGTGTTATACTATAACACTAAATCTAATGTATACTAATCTATACTTACTGTAGATTTAAGCCCAGAAGTGTTGTAACTTGATGTATTTAGTCATAATCTGTCTCTTTAGAGGGAAAAAATGGTGCAGCTTGGTAAAGGAGCGTCTGTTAAATGAGACCTGACAAGACCAAAAGTTGGCACATGATTCAAGCGGGATGGAAAACGAAGCCAATTGATGTTGGGCATTTAAAGGTTACCGTCCTAATAAGGTATGTATGGGAAAAAAAGCCATTTCTAACTGCTTATTCTGGTAAAATGTATTTAACATGCTTGTTTACCGAGATGTGATTGTTTAAGGCTTGAACATGTTTCTCAGGGCTACATTTCTTTTACAACTACACAGATTTTGAGTAAAACATTTGCATGTTTTGTACTGCCCTTTACAAAGTAATGGATCAACTAGTAAGCCTGTGTGATGCTCAGGCAACAGTTTCACAGGGATGATTTGCAAGCATCACTTAACTTGCACAGACGGTATTTGTGGCATGTTCCACAAACTGATAATCACTTGCAAACTGCAGATAAATTTGAGTTCCATGAGGCCCTTGCACGCTCATGCATGGGTATAAAGAATGCCACTTGTTTTGATTCCTGAAAACATCTAAATAACATGAAATGGTCACATGTGGCAAATTGTAGCTTGTCCATTGCTAATTCTGTGAAACCCAAGATTACCAATAAACAGTTTGCGTGTATGAGGAGCATAATCTCACTCTTACTGAAGACGATAACAATAGAGACACTAAAGTCTTCCACAAGAAATGTGATGGTTTTTAAAAAAAAAGGGCAAAGGCAACAGTTTCTACAAATAACGTGAATTTATTTTTCCAAAAAGTTATTTACATTATATACATAAACACACTCCCAAAATAAGCCACACACAGTAACAGTCACACCACGCACAAAGCCTCGGAAAGATCGCGTGCAATGAGATCAGGTCTCTCCTTCAGTTATACAGTGTATCAGTAATCTCTCTCAGCAGAAAGGCACATTTCTTGGGGACAACAGAAACCCACACATTCTCACATTCACAGAAACACACACACACACACACACACACACACACACACGGAGAAATGCATTCAACATACGCTTCATTAAGGGATGTGCTCTGATAAATAATGTTGGTCTTGCAGTGCTTCCACTTTTTCATAAATAAAAAAAAAAAAAAAAAGAAAAATTTAAACATGTACAGTACAGCGACTACAATTGCTGGTTTATGTCCACTGGCACAGATCTGTATTCTACTTCACTAGTCCACAAAAAGGAACGTTCTGCAGCTCCTCACGCAAATCTCAACACATTTAGGACCGCCTCTGATTCCAGCCCGCGAGCTGTTTTTCCAACTGTCTCATACGCTGGACAGACCCCGGACTCCTCGTTTCCAGAAACCACAGGAAACCTTCCAGAGTCTGCAACCTGGAGCTCCTCCCCACTGTGTGCTGATCAATCATCCTCTCACGAAAAGTGCTCAATTAAAGAGAAGGTAGTGCTTCTCACTGATCCGTGTTGGGTCCCCCAAGGTGACGGTGCATTGGTTGTTGGAAGTGCTGAGTTGTTACATAGGCAGCCTGTCGATCAAAAAACAATCGAATAAATTCACACATCACACTACAGATTCTAAAAAGGAATCAGATATTTCATGCATAATTATTTTGACAAAATTTTATTATGTTTCGTACCGCTTTCTTGGTTTCACTTCCCAGCCATCACGACATTTCACAAAAGTTATGGAGTCTCCGGGTGAAATTTCAGTTTTTGAGGTGTCTTGGGCACAGAAAGTAAACCTGTGACAATTAACAAAAAGAAAAAAAAGCAGCTTTAGTAAATGTTCAACCAGTGTAATAAAACCTAATTCTGCACAGTGGCAGATATGTGGCAATTACTCAGGTTCTCCTTTCAAACTTACTTCTTCTGGGTTTCTCCAGCTTTCACACGAATCCGCCGGATTTCCAGCACAGGTTTGGGAGGCTTGGCGTTCCAGGCCCAGAAATTCTTCTTGATGTTTTTCCAGACGGAGGTCCAGGATTCAGAATCTCCTTCCCAGTTCAGACGGATCTTCAGCAGGTCACCAATATCCGCCTCAGTAAACACCAAGAAGGTGTTGGTCAGGTTCAGACCGACAGTGTTGTCATGGCTGGACAGAGGTGGGGGAAATCAGGTTAAGTCCGGTGCCCAGAAAACTCAACACAGAGGATCTAGCAGGTGTGTGTTGAAGTGAAACATTTTAATTCTGCACTAAGAAAGTAGTGAGTGATGCTCTGAGCTAGTGAGATGCCTGATGCCTGATGCCTGCCTGATTGCTGATGTATGTCATGCTTTTACAGTTGTAACAAAGCGCTTAAATTAGCATTAGCGTGTATGGAAACTTGAACTAGAAGTTACTCAAGTTCCTCCAGTGTGAGCTTGTTGTATGTCACAATTCTATGTGACTGGCACTTTGAAAGGTCAGAACAAACAAGGATCAAGTTCAAATTCAAAATTTATATCACAGCTACCAGGCTGAACACATTGGAGGACAGTTCCCAAAACCAGTGCGCAGTGGTTTCATGCATTGTCATGGTAAGGTGTTGTGAGAAAAGACTGGAATTACTAAATACTTACACATCGACAAATATGTTTCCTGTATCGTTATGGGCGCCGTACAACTTGACATGGAAGGTGGGATCTGCATTGTCTGACTGCTTTCTGTTGAACACGTGCATCTTCATCTGGTAGTGGTAGCCTTAAAAGAAAATATGAAACGGTTAATGTTTAAACCCACAATGCAGTTGTGCAGAGTAATAGTTTACACTGGGGACTGTCAAGTCATAAAACGTGTCTACCATATCTCAGTCCAGTTGCTTATCAGTTTTATTCCTGGAAGTAAAGACATAAAACTACCTGCAATGCATTTGCAAGTCATGTCCGTACTGTAACTCACCTCCAAATGGAGTGTCAGCACGCGTCTTCAGGTACATTTTACTATTGCGTCTCTTGCGCATCTTCCTGGCGTTGTAGCCGATGTTGTTGCATCGATTTTTGCGGCAGCTGAGGCAGATGCCCTTCTTGAAGCGATCGGGGCCTGTGCACTGGTAGGCAAAGCTCATATGATCCTTGTTCATCAAGGAGTCCACAAACAAGTGCACGGCGCGCTCATGCTCGCACTTCATCACCTCCATGAAATCTGCAGATAAAGAGGAAGGGGGGTTAGCTGGGCTACAGCTGCAAAAAGATACAGTGGCATTCATGCTGTATGCAGATGTGATTTAACTGATGTAACTTATGTTGTTGACAGTAGGGTCAACAAACAAAGAATCAACATGCAGCCATTTCTTAAGCACTTACTTCCTGCTACTGCCAGCACGTCACCCAGCGCACAGCCAGGCTGCACTTCACCACCGTTGGGGTAGATGTCAATGTCCCCAATAGGTTGCTGGATCCCAATGCTTACACCCAAAGCCTCTCTGGTGTATGTGTGCAGAACGTCCACAAAGTCGGCATCATCTGGGGACAGACGCTTCTGTTCCTCTACGCCTTCAAACATTGGTCCTGCTGGGTCTAGACCTATTGGGAATAAAGGAGACAGAAGGTCAGGAAAATGAGGCAGCACCATCCTTGATGTGCATTTACTGCAGATTCTTGTTGCACTTCACTCACCAGTAATTCTACCGATGGTCCCTCGCACATATGTTCCTGCGTAACCGGCTACATGAGCGCCTAAACTGTAGCCAATCAGGTGCACATTCTGCAGAGGCAGCTGCTGCTCATCCTGTTGGAGAGAAAAGTTACAACACTCACATCACCAGCTGCCACCATGAACACTACTCCACACTGAACAAATCCTGGATTTCAGCCAGTGATGATCAGTCGTGCCTGCAGCTGAGCCAAGCTCAGTTAACCCGGACCGAATCTACTGACAGTCCCTTCCATGCAACAGCGCCTCCACCATCTGTCTCAGTTTGTCTCCATGAAATACTCTTTGTCTATGTTTACAACTACATGGCAGGATGCCTGAAACCTTCCTCACTTGCCATTTGTGCACTGGTCCAATTTTGTGACAGTCCAGCTGAATGGGAATTGTTGCCTTTGCCTCAGCTCTGCTAAATAGACCGTGATTAGATTCTCTGGTGACCATTGATCTAATGGTACTTAAAGTATGCTAAGACAGCATACCACAAAGAAATGGAGCTACTGCCTTGGGGTAAATATGGGAATTCCAAATAAATGAATATTTAGCATACATCACATCTTCTAACACGTTTTGACAGTTCTGTCTTGCTCACAAAAGACTGATCTTTTAAAATCACGCCAACGGAAAGACAGAAGTGGGGCAGATTTTAGGGATTTGCAGGTACTCCGCTGCTCTTCTATCACTCAGAATTACTGCCTGCTCAGATCACACGCTACACTATAAATCATTTTTTACAACATGCCAAAATGCATGAGAATGTAGGAGATACATTTATACATATGACCCTACATGCTTTAGACCAAGCTACGTCATGGGTTAGGGAGGGAGTACTGAGTGAATGAAGGTACTGTGGTGGTCAGTGGAGTATTAACTGATTCTATTTCCTTTTTCTCAAGAACCTAACTAGGAATTCAATGATGTATTTGCACAATTAGCTTCAGCAGAACACATGACTCATATGAGGAAAACAAGTTATTTTCACAGTACATATATAAATAACTACACACCTGAAGCCAGTTTAGCATGTCAGCAATATGGAGGCCGACATCATGGGTGTGGTTGACTGCATCGGGGTACAGTTGCTGAGCCATCAAGAGCCAATCAACAACCACAACATTGGCATCTTGTTCACGCTGCATCACTGCAGAGACCAGCTTGTGCATCCAGCTCTCGAACATCCCGCTCATCTGAGAGAGAGAGAGAGAGAGAGAGAGAGAGAGAGAGAGAGAGAGAGAGAAAAAAAGGACAACATGAGTCATTCATTCATTCATTCAAACTGCTTTAACCTGTTGTCCTCTCTGACACACTGCACTCAATTATTTCACACTCGCATGATAAATTCCAACAATCAAAGCACTGGTTGGAGAAACACTTCCATTAATTCAGAACTCAAGCTTCCTTCACTGGTTGACCCAGATAGAGAAGAGCATGGACTACAACAAGATAGGGATTATAAATAATAATAATAATTTTAACTCATATGTACCGTCCAGCCGTGAATGATGAAGATGGTCTTGGCTGTAGCATTGAAGCCACACTCCTGTAGACACTCCTTCTTGCCAGCTTGCAGGTAGCAGCCCTCGTGCTCCAGGTCGAAATTCTTTCTCATGTTGTACTTGATGCCATTGAGAATGTTGCTGTCTGTTGACAATTCATCCAACCCACTGTCTTCACCTGAGGGAAAATATTGCCAAGGGTGTTAGATTTAAAAAATAAATAAATAAAAAAATTGAGTAAATGCACAAAGTTCCATTGATTTCCTTCAATTTCTCCTGCCTTTGTGATGATTACAAATATATTAAAAACAAAAACAAAAAAAGAAACACTGGTCTGTCAGAATGATCTATTTCAACGCTATTCAGAAAACCAGTCAGCCAATCAGCCGTCACACTTGTAGGGAGCCACTGAGACAGCCAATCAACTCGCTTTTGCAGCCAACATCTGCTACAATCATCCCGGCTGGGTGCAACTTGCAGCCGAAACGCAGGCGCAGAGCCAGAATGTCACCGCCACCCCTCTCTTCTTTTATTTGATCCCCATTCACACAGCTGCAGCCAGAGCTCATATAATTATATCTGACTTTAACACACTGTGCTCCAGGGCGTGAGGCTAAAGTGGTACAATTAAAGAATTATGCTGATGCAAGACCCCTTTAATTGGAAGCGATCAGAGGATGCTGGGACAGTTTATCCACAGATTTTATGAAAGAAAATGTAGAACCGCTGGTAATGAAGGGTTATTTTAAACCCAGATCAATTTTTCATTAAAAAAAAAAAAAACCAAAAAAAACATTTGCTCTCTTTGTGTTTGATTTTTGATTCTTGGTCTGATGAGTGGATTAAAACCCGCGGCGCGCAGCAGAAACGTCAGATCTGGATTTCAATGAACTCAACACCCTTTGGTGCTGAGCCACACAGACCAAAATGACTTAAACTGGGTAGTAAAAAAAAAAAAAAAAAAAAAAACACTGGAGAGCGGTCCGTGGTAAAACGCGGATTCAGCGGAACATCTTTCACACAGACGTGGCGATGTGTGTCCTCCTCATGGAGCTCAAGATTCCTGCTGCTCTCCCAAAAAGGACACGTCGCAGTCGTGCCTCTTAAATCCATCCCCGTTTTTCTGGTTCACTCTGCCCGCCACACTTGTTCTTATTTGTAATTTAGACTCATAAGCCCAAAATGTAGATTAATTAAACAGGGGTGTGAAGAAATTTGAGCTTTAAGATACTTTTAATTCTTTTTCATTCATTAGATTTCTTTCATTCAGTGCATGTTTGACCGACTTTACCTATCCGATGTTACATTTTGACACTTCCCTTTGAGGCAGGGAAAGAAATATATGATAGAAATGAATGGACAAAAGGCACAAAGCCGTTTCTTACCTGTAAGAACAGCGTTTTCCGCAAGTGCTGAGGAGAAGAGCGCAGCGGCACACTGTAGGAGAATCCACATTAAAAGAGCTTTATGATTCATCTCTCAGTCACCAGCGAGTGTGGAGGAATTAAAAGCTCCCTGGGAATATGAAATGTCTTTGTGTCGCCTATTGCTGCTGGTAGCGCGGTGGGTAGGTGAGTGAGTTTAGATCCAGTGGTGACAAAAGAGCAACAGAGCCGGTGGTGCGTTTTTGGTGCGCGCCTATGAAATCACCGCTCAAGAGATGTTTAAACTTGAATACGTGTGACATTAGAGTTTTAAATAGTTTCTCCTTTTCAGTCATCTGATCATCGGCTGATCTATCGTGGATCTTATTGGTCAAGCCCCCATTTGTTTACGTTGAGGGCGTGGCGAAATGAATGAAGTCGTAGTAGGCTTCTCACGTTGCGCGTATTTTAACCCTTGGGGGGTGTGTAGCCCAAGACTGACGCAAGTATGCTTAAAAATGTAACCAGTAGCTTAGTATAGGTATGAAGGTCATGCGTTTGTTGCCTAACCGGATTCAAACTGTATCAAAAACCGTAAATAAACAGTCAATGAGCCTACGAGAGTGGATGTTTCCGGGGAATAAGACCCGGTGTCCACGCCCACGAGTTTTTTTTTTTTTTTTAACCTTACAGAGATATAAACAATTCTCCCTCTGCTTATTATCATACGTGGGAAACCCACAACACCCCTTCGCGCGTCTATGGAAATACTTTAAAGGCTCCGAGCCGGGTTGGGGGGGGGGGGGGTTGGCGAGGCTCCCTCCCCCATGAAAGCATCGTCTCCTCTGCCTGGCGCGCTGCCAAACCATCAGTTTGGCGCACCGACCAGTTTCAATTGATGAGCAAAGAATGGGCGCACTCACGCAAGGGTCTCTGCCACAATAACACCACTGTTTTGTGTACATACATCAGCGCCCACCAGTAGAGGACGTGCCAACCTGCCAGCCCAGCGGCCCCTGGTACCTTGAGTCTAAACAGCTTATAGCATATATGAGAACAAAGTCATGCTGGGGGTTACAATGTGTACTAGGTCACTGGGTTTAACAGGTTTCAAGCTCTAAAAGCCATAAAGACATTTAACTATTCAGTGATGGTACCCTATGTTATCTATAATATCTAAAATGATGCCATTGATATTTTCTGTTGTTTAATATAGGAAAGAAAGTTAAACAACTTACCCCCCCCCCACCCACCCACCGCTGAATGCAAGCATAAGCAGCAACATGAGGGTACAACAATGTCACACCCCTTCCATTGTGTTTAGACAGGCTGCCAATCATGGTACATGTACTATCTCACTTTATTGTCTTACAGATACTGGCCAGTAGAAATCCAGCCTCTTCCTTATTGCCAGTTTCACTATGACTTTGATATGACTATAAATAAACATCTTTTTATTAATCTTTTTTTAAAACCGGCATTTATGTTAAAAATGGTCTTTTTCAAAGGAGGAGAGAGAGGTTGTGCGTGATAGAGGAGCGTTAAAAATAACTTGTCCTATATTTAGCACAGGGTTGAGCACCCATGTATAAATAACCATATGCTTGTGAGAACATGGCAGAAGGTGCATGATACTGCATCTCGGGAGGGCACTAGAGTTCATACGACGAGATGATGCAGTGCAGTGTAAAAATCCACCCTGCTCACTCAATCCTATAGAAATTATTTCTTCATGGATGTCAGTAATCTCTGGAGGGCAGCTGCCATTGTTGCATTTCAGGATGTGTTGTGTCAAAATTATGAAACACTGGAAGATAGTTGAGGAGATGATGACATCGTACTGTACCGGTCCATGAGCGCACAGTCAGTTGTAATTCATCTGGTTATCCGTTTCCTTTGCAGGCTCACAGGGTCATGCGGGGGGAGCGGAGCTTCTCCATGCAGGCAGTATCACTGGGGTAAAGAGAGGAAAAGTCACAGGTTGTTTCATCACAAATGTCTGTTATCTGTGCCAGTCTGGAGACTTGCATGTTGTTGAACTATCGGCAGAAAATAGGGCAAAGGACAGACAAAGTACAAAAGCGATCATAAGACAGAATACCCCAGACATTGCTGCAATGTAACAGTCATGATTGCAGAGTTTCTTACAAAATACTTGTAAATTATAAAAATGGGTCCAGTCAGATAGATGTTAATCATGAAGTAAAAATGATTACACCCTTCTAGTTTGGGGTGAACATGAATAATAATCACTTTGTAGAGGCAATTGCCTTTAATAAACCCAGGTTCCGTTTTGAAACCAACTTATTTTTTAGCTCGGTAGACGTCTTACTGCAGTTTAAATTTACGTCACTCCCTCCTTTTATTTATGTTCTTTATCTAAACATCAATAACACAAAGTCTCTAGCTTTTTCAAAGAACCTCAAGGACTTCTCAGAATCAGTCTGTTTGACTGACCTGATGTCAGACATTGGATGTTATATTTAATTCAAAGTAAAAGTCACTTCTTGTGCAGGGGATTGTTATTCTTTCCATCCACAATCCCCAGCCAGCTGCCCAGTCTGACAGCCAGTTTGATTCTGCACTGTGCTGACCTGTCCTTATTTTGCCCTACAAGGTTTACCTGGCAAGACCCAACAATGAGCTACTGTGAAACATTAAAACAATCAAGTTGACCTGTGGGGAGAGCAGAAGGAGCGTAACTTCAACATTTTTATCTATTGTAACGTTGTTCTGACTCATTCTTGAAGTTATTCTAAATTACAGGTATGAACCGTGAAGTGTCTGCAAATCACATTTCATATGTGTTGGCGGGAAGTGCTGCACTCTTCAGTGTGCTACTACTGAGATTTTGAATGCCCTGCAGTTCTTAGCTTGCGCTTAATGTAAAATCTTGTAAAATCCAATCATTTTTGAAGGTATAATAACATTTGGCATAAGTTCTGTGTAAATAAAGCTTTCAGAGATGCACTTAGTTATGTCTAAAACATTGCTGTTATAATCCTGACATATCATAAATACATTAGAATTATTGTTCATTGTTATTTTCAATGTCAGCAAAAACACTGAAAAAGTGACAGTGATGGGCATTCACTGAACTTATGTTGTCAAATTAGGTGCCTGATATTATTTACACAGCCCACTCAGAGTATGACTGACATTCAGGTATATTTGTGTTTTAAAGATCTATGAGTCATTTTTAAAGCCTGTCTTAGGTCAATTCAGTATATTTTATTTCAAATAATACTGTTCTCCATTCAGTCCTGGCTACGTGTATTAAAACCAGAGTTGGAAAAAGAATTCAAATTACTTATTTAAGTAAAAGAAGCAATACAAAATTGTAAAATGACTCAATTATAAGTGAAATTCCTACATGAAAAAATTTACTTGGGTGTAAGTACAGAAGTATTAGCAGCAAAATGTACTTAAAGTCTCAAAAATAAAATGCTTTTTCTCCAGTCTTATCATCTGACATCTAAAACATAACAAGTGGCCCCAAATAGGCATGGCTTTTTTGTAGGGGGTCACAAGAAAAAATGTTAGGAAACACTGGTTAAATCTTTATCAATATATTATATTTTAAAGGTTTATCAACATAAGTCTCAATCATGATTAAAACTAAGTAGTAACAATATCTGTAACATACATAGAGGAGGATAAAGAACAATATTTAGCTCAAGTAAGGAAATAGTAGGAAAAACTCAAGTAGGCCTACCTCAAAATTGAGCTTATAGTGCAGCACTAGAGTATCCACCACTGTTAAAAACAAACAATAAAGCCTGTTTTAACCTATTTTAGAATAAGGGGTTTTAGTAATGTAATGTGGTTCAACAGCACCACACACTGCAGCCTCCAAAATCATCACACAGTTGAATCAACACCTCGGTAACACTGTTTCAACAAAAACATTCTAACCTTTGTGATGGAAGGGTTTGTTTCAGGACTGTTGTATAAGACTGCATTAGTTTTAGCCAGGTGTTCCTAATAAACTGACAAGTGAGTGTGTATTTACAGTATGGAGCAGGTGACAGTGGGTGACAGATCGAACCTTTCAACACCTTTCAAAGTCAATGAGGGTGGGATGGGATGAGGGGGTGTTCATTCAGCCAACCACCAGCCAAACGTCTCCTTCAAACTAAAAATAAGACAGCAGCGCCACCGTGTGGGCAGAGGAGCAGCGCATCGGACAGTGACACAGCAGGAGGCGGAGGGGGGGCAGTGAGCCAGACCGGATCCTTCATGAGGGAAGAGGCCAGGGACAGCCAGCCAGCCCCGGCTTCTCTTCTCTTCACTGATATTATTCTGTATTGCAAGCCCCGGAGCCCGAGCAGGGGGCTGCGTTAGTGTTCGTAGGATGTCCCGTCATGAAGGTAAGAATACACCTGTACACAGAGGTGTGAGCATGTCAGGATTTGTGGTAAAAACGTTGACAGAGCACCGCCAGCTAACGTCAGCTAGCTGAGAATTTCTTGTTTTGCAGCTCATCCTAGCTAGCGTTGGCTACTGTTAGCAGCAAGGTTGCAGTGCAAGTTAATTTCGTGGGTACGCATTACGACGGCCACAAAATGATCTGATATATATATGAATCTGATAAAACGGACCCTGCAGTTGACGCGAATGTTTCAGAAAATGCACGACGCTCAGCGTTAGTTTACCAAAACAACGCTGACAGATGAGCGGAAGAAGCTAGTTAACGTTGGCTAAGTGTGCTAGCTAGCCTGCAAGCTAACTGGTGATAGGTTATGTAGGTTAACGTTAACGAGCTGGGGAGCAAGGGGGAGTGCCGAGAATAAGGAACATAGGAGAGCAGCGGATCCCTGATGGCGTTGAGGGGTCGAGCTTGTCATATAGTTAATGTTAACGTTAGCTTGTTTTAGCTTCCTTCCTGGTAAAAGTTGGCCCGTGGATTCCAGTTTCGCGAGCTAACATTTAGCAAACCAACATTCACCTCGTCCTTGTGGCCAACCTTGTTGGGCTTGAAGTTCACTGTTAGTGTCAAGTAGACGCCAGTTATCACTGTCAGTGTGATGTTTCAGCTCACCAACTGGTAGAAAGTTGAGTTAGTTAAGTCTACCACAGCTGACTAGCTTGTCAGCTAACAGTTAAGCTAACGGTAGCTGTTTTATTTGTTAATTGGTTAGCCAACAGCGAAGGTTAGTCAGGCCGGGGCGGCCTTTATTTTCCATGCCTGTGTTGTTGTCAACTTTGCTGTCAGTAGTGATCGAGTTATTTATGTCTGAGATGAAACACGAAGTGGTCATCGTCGTTATTGTCATCAACGTTTCTGCAACAGCTAGTCGTCAGCCGCCGCACAGCAGGATCCGGTGGCACTGAGCTTTTACTGCTTGCTAGCTATGAATGGAGATATGAGGGAGTTTAGACAGCCTGGTGTCATACAATACACCGAGGCTGCACGACTGTCTTAGTCAATCAAGAAATGTCTGGACTTTTAAACAGAGGATCCCATGTGTTACACAAGGTGAAAACCTTTAGTACATAATGTTGGAATGAACTTACTGATGAGGATGGCTTTATGAATGAGCTAGGTATTGTGAGTGTAGTTTTATGAAAAGGTGAATGAAGCAGGCACTAGTTTATAAGTCTGTATGTCACTTTAGAGTTAGAGGATTGCTACAGGGAGTTGACACAGTGTAACACATCTGCAATATATGATGAGTGCAATATCCATGTAATAAATATCGGTGTTTAGTTTTTATGAGCTGCTGATTGTGAAGGCATTTTATTTTAAAACATTTTTAAACATAGCCCTCTTATTGTATTACAACCAAACAGAAAAAAAGAAAACATCCAATCCACGTCACCCATGTCTTAACACAACAAAAACAAAAGCCAAAGTACAACCAGACCAACAAAATACAATACAGCAAAGTCAATCTCTTGAGTATACATTGCCATCCAGTACACCACCACAGCACCGCAAAAAACATTAAATCATCTTCCATCACAACCTCAATTAAAACTTAACATTACTACATACAGATGTCATATTTATTGCATCTTCTTAGATTGCATTATATTTCATTTACAGGTGTTCATGTTGTTATGTGCACCACGTGCCTATCATACCTTTGAGGAACCTTGATCCAGTAGTGATCTTGAATGTTACTATACAAAAATGAGGAGCAATCAGCTCAAAATAGAAAAATACAAGTCTTAAGCATCATTTGTTTGGTCTGTAGCAAGCAGTCCAACCAGACTATTCTTAAAATGAAAATCCTGCTTTTCACCACAATTTATCTTTATTGATATCTTTATTTTTGCAATCATGTAGTTACTATTCTGCATAATTCTTAATTAAGTATGTTTTGAAGTTGAACTCTTTTTGTAACAACTAAAAACATGGGTCTTATTTTTCAATGTAATTCATTGATTGAATATAAGAATACATTTCTGAGTCAATGTTGGTCTGAATTGGTTAAGGAAACCCCAGTAGGAACTTTGAATGCAATGCTTAATGAGAACATAGAAGACATAATAACTTGTTGCCAGGGATTTGTTTATACGATCTTCATGTTTTGGATAAAATATTCCTCAAAATCTGAAATTCTGAAACACTGTGTTTTAAAATGAACTGTGTATAACCTTTTCAATAGGCTGTGTTGATCAACTTAAATTAAGTTCACATAATGTGTAATAATGATAATAATAACAATAATAATATTCAACATCTAACCTCTCTTTTCTCCTTTCTCTTGTCATGCTTCATCTGTCTTCCCTTAGGCGTGAGCTGTGATGCATGTTTAAAAGGCAACTTCAGAGGCCGACGATACAAATGTTTAATTTGCTACGACTACGATCTGTGCGCATCGTGCTATGAGAGCGGTGCAACTACAACCAGACACACCACAGAGCATCCCATGCAGTGTATATTAACCCGGGTTGACTTTGGTAAGTACAGTTGATATTCATATAAAGCTGATTAGAAGCAGAGTGCCTATTCCAAATTGTAAAAATATGAAAAGTGTGGATTTGAGCCATATGTTGTTTGACATTCTTTGTTATGATATTTGTTGTTGTGATCTAATAATATTTGGCTACATTTTATATGGATAGGCAGATTTTGATAACTAGCTGACAACCTGGCAAGAAAATACAACTGTTGAGCACAATGTATGAACATTTGCTGCATCTCTACAGTACAGCTCTACGATTAACCACAAACCAAACACAGTATCTATAAACTGATTGTCTTCAGCACCTGAAAGTTAGTTGGGTGTCAGTCAACATTCAACATTGAACTATGGAAAAATTAAGTTTTTTTCATCTAAGGAGGGGAGGGGGGCATGTGCAAGTTGTGCGATGGGCAGTAGACCAGTTGCAATGCTGTCGTTGCAGAATGACAAAAACAAAGAACAAATAAAGAAAAGAGATGATTTCAAATTTTTTGACTAGGTTTTCAAACTTGGCACAGTGATTTTTTATTTTTAAAATGTCAACATGCACTGCACACATGCAATTCATGGTCATTTTTGTCATGTCATAATTAAGATAAGCGCCTAATCCTTGTGGTCTTTGGTAACCTTCCTTCAGTGGCTTTAATAAGCCTGCACAAGTAAAACTGTTACAGTGTAGGTTATCTTCTGTTGGCACTGGCTTTTGCTTTCTGACGGGAAGGCTGCTCCCAACTGGCTTAGCAGTGATTGATTTGACCCAGACAGTCTGAGGAGTGTTTGGGAGTCTGTTATTGGGCTCTGGGCTTTTTTTTTTTTTTATCTCTAGATAAATGTAAAAAATGTATTGGCAGTGATGATAAAAATACTAAAATCCTATTTAGACCATACTTTCTGTAAATTTAGTTACTATTAATATTTAATCAGCTTGCCAGAGGGTGTGGTATTATCTCAGATATAGAATAATTGTGAGATTATGATACTGAGTTGACCATTTTTCTTGTTTTTGGATGATGCTTCTAGATTTTTTTTATTTGCTGTTACTGTGAAATATGTTGGTGTTCATCCTTTCGCATATTGGAAATGCTGTTTTACAGTCTGTTAGAAAAATACAAACTGCTGCCAAAAACACAGCAGAAGGTGCAAGCTCGCAAAGAATTCCTCCTTTTTGTGGTTGTGGTTTTGTGTATTTTCAGTTTGCTTGTTCCAATAACTGAACTAACTGTTGGTTGGTGGATTCAAGTATTTACACACATCTCAGTTTAGTGGTTGAACAGAATGTGGTAAAATATATCCTGTAATATGGCAAAAATGCTATAATCAACTGGGAGATGTCTCTCATCGACTAAACTTGCTTGGACTGAACAGGTTTTTATAATTAATCTTCTTCATATGGGCTTTAATATGGTTTTATTTGTAGTTATATCCTGGTACAATCTGTCTTTTGAACCTTTTAACTCACTATTGTCAAGCTCCTGAGCTATTTTCAAGATTCTTCACATGGGTGTTTATCATGTATGATTCTGTGGCAGCTTTGATGAAACTTTGGATCTGTGTAAAAGAAACGCTTCAATCTCAGCACCTGAACTGGACTTGCAGATATTTTATTGAGAGTGAATGCCTCTCGGTTCTCCCACAGACCTGTACTACGGTGGAGAAGCATTCTCGGTGGAGCAGCCTCAGGCCTTCACATGTCCCTACTGTGGCAGGATGGGCTACACAGAGATCTCCCTGCAGGAGCACGTGGCTGCAGAGCACACAGAGACCTCCACAGAAGTGGTAAGTTGATGCGGACGCCTCATTCACAGCCACCTATGAAATCTTGACTAGATGTTTGCACAGATCTCAACACCTGAAAACATTTACATGTGTGCTGACTTACCTGGCATGCCTCAAATTTTTTTCTCATTTGAGTAAATTGAACCGGTGTCTGAGAATGTTCCTCACAGGAGCGTGTAGGTTGTGACCATATGGTGTTGTATGTTTACATCGTATTGATTGTCTTGTTCACAATGTCACTGTCAAAGCCTAGTTCTGATGTCAGCCTCTGACTGCAAAGAAATCAAACTGCAAGTGATGTCGGGTAGACTGTGCAGCTCTATTTATAGATAATCACTGTTTTTCTTCTGATGGCAAGAAAACATTGGGTTGAACTGCTGAGTAAATACTTTACAGAACCTTAGTACGTGTCTGGTACACTTTATGTGACAGCCGACTTTTTTCCTAGTGCATGACATTTATTATAGGTTTTTTTGGTGTGATTCCTCTTTCTAGATGACGTCTGATTTTCATACATTTTAGGACCATATGTTGTTAACTTGTTCAAACCATTCAAATTATATGTGTTAGAGTGGCACATGTAAATGCTGTTGGACAAAGAATGTCCCTACTCTGAAATTAGTGTTCATTTTGAAATTATTTCTGGTTATGGGCGTATTAATTCTACCATAGTGTGAAAAACAGTTTTACTAAATCTTTAGTTATTTGGTTGAATCAGTTACGTTACTTTGATAGTACAAAATAACAAAATGTTGATCTTCAGTTGCCCAAACACACTACTGTCAGTGAAATGTTTTCATGCCTACCTCTGTGGTTCTGAGCCATTGTCATAACTCTCATTAGCTGACCTGAAGCTGTGTGGGAAAGGTGTTTTCAGTCAGTAAGTGACTATTCATGGGTAAAGACTGTCAGGGTAGCCAATTAATGTTCAAGAGTGAATGACTCAGTTAAGGACTGTGTCCCAGTGCAGCAGACAGGCAACAAACACCTTGTGAAAATCCTAACGTAGATCACGACCACAGATATTGTTTTGGTTTGTCATGTTATGTCAGTCTTTAGGATATGATAGTAAATTGTCCTTTGAATGAAAACAGGGATGTTTGGCAAATACTTCACCACCTTATTTTGACTAAGTCAACACTGGAGATGAACTCAGCTAATTTTGACTTTCAGCCTTTTAAAAACAAGAAAATCACATGCTTTTCACAGTGTCCGTGCTACAACAGTACAGCTCATATGTCATTCTGTGTGGCAGCTGACTATCACATTTTTGATGGTGGAGCTTCCACCAACAAATCAGCTTCTTCATGTTTACACACAACATTTGTACAGTGGATATTTACCAATCTCAGTGTTTGTTCAGGAGGACCCGGCACCAACCTGCAAATGTTGAATGTGCAGTGAAGTGTGTTGATAATGGCATGTACGCTCTCTCTTCCTGTCCATTCTAGATCTGCCCCATTTGTGCAGCACTGCCAGGTGGCGACCCGAATCATGTGACAGATGACTTTGCTGCTCATCTCACACTTGAACACAGAGCACCCAGAGACTTGATATCCTTTTCAAGTAGTAGTCCCACCTCCACATACATAACTATAACCTGCCTGAATTTGTGTTTCAGTCAGTTGTGTAAAGAGAAGCAGATATCTTTGTGTTATCTGTGTGGAAACTATTCAGATATTGATGCTTATGTTACAGGAAAGAAGCGATGCAGCTTCTGTCACAAAGATTACTTTGTCATTTTAAAGATTAGCACACCACGGTTGCATCTGTTCACTGAAACTGACATTTGTTGACATTTTGCTAATAACATTAAAGCTTCCTGTGGTATTTTTCCAAATTGCTGTGGTGGCTGACCAACAATGAGGTACAATATCAGAATATGTGCTGTAACGATTTCATGCTTGTTGTTCCATTTTAAACTAAATTAGGTGTCTCATACCATTGTGACATCAAGTAAGGGGGCTTCACTCAGATTGATCGCTTGGTTACATGCTGTTTGCTGCAGGTTTGTTGCATAGAGGAGGAAAGGCAACTTCACTTTTTCCTTCAAACTTACTTGTGTGGCCTTGTCCTTACTCTCCTCCTGTGAGAGTGGCTCTATGAAAAAAGAAAGTCATGATATGTAGTGGTAAATAAAGTGCACCGTGAAATGTGATGGTGAGTGTTTCTACACAGTAGATCAAATTCAGTTCAATGCTGCTTTTTGTGTTTTTGGGCTACTCCCAAGGAGTTATTGTTATAAGGCTTATTGGATGTTTTGACCCCAAGTGGCATTGTAGTTTAGAGCGTTTGTAGAAATGTACCGATCCAGTCTGGATGGATATTGATGTTGATACTGGCCAGGTTAAGTGAATTGGGCATTGGCTGTAATGTGACCAATCCACATTACAAACTTAGTGCAGCTTCTTTGTCATTATAAATTTCTTCCCCACTATTAGTTACATTTGTTCAGTCTCACCGGGCCACCAACTCAGTTTTTAGTGCTACAACAATCCCTGACTTCATGTTACCTTCCATTAAAATGTTTCCATATGTTTACCTGAGTGAGGTATACAGAGAGAGAGCACTGGTGTTGGATGGGTGCTCGGTATTGACAGATACCCTGAGTTAAAGTATCGGAATCATTATCTGGGGAGGACAAGCTGAATCAGAGCATCCCTAACAGTTTGCATTGTTTTTATCACCTGCCAACTGGCATGCCACAAGCACTGCAGTGATATGACGCACATTTTTCCCAAATGCACAAGGCGGTAACAGTTGAGGGCAACAAAAATTAGTAATGTGCCAGTAAAAGTGAAGACTGCAAACTATGTAAATAATGAAGGCTTAAATGTATTATTGAGACCACATGTTCTGTTCACATGTGATTGAGTATGAATCAAGATAGTTGGAAAGAGAGCAATTTAAGCAGAGGACAGTTTAAAAAAACAAACAAACTGAGAGTTGCACTCTGGGATAGACTCAGGTCTGATGACAGCAGTCTATTTATAGAGTATTTGAATATGCGCTGTGGAGAAAACAAAAGATGCAAACATGTAGTTAAATGAAACACGGACAGAATGGGTGCATCTTAAGCCCCACAAAATAGGGCCATAGCTTTTGTTTGTGCTGCCTTGTGTATGATTTTATGATATTCTGAGAGCACCATGCAAACATGTTAGCTGGTTCAGAAGGCCTGAGTGCAGTGAGTATTTAGAGGAGTGGCAGTGACGGTTTAAGTGCAACTTTGAAACTACAAGTTGATTAATGAATGTGTCGAGCATCAGAGAGTTAATTGTTAACAGTTTTGATCACTTCATGATTTATGTAATTTTACAAGCAAAAATTCAAGCATTTGCTGATTCCAGCTTCTCAAATGTGAGGCTGTTTTCAACATCCTCATAGAGATATCTTTGGGTTTTGACGATACTCATCTTGGTAATGTTGATCCATTTTTCACAGTTCTTTGACATTTTATTATTCTAATGTGTAACCAAAGAAGATAATATCACTAATTATAGCATTAATTAAAGAGTTATAGCACTATCCTGCTCTTAATATATTCCTTAACGGCGAGCTTCACGATGAGTCCAGTGGGGTGCGGCATGTGAGGAGGATGTTTCACCCTGGGCGCGGGCTGGGAGGTCCGCGAGCCCGCAGGTCTAACATGCACTTCACCAGCAGCACCACAGGGGGGCTCTCCACCAGTCAGAGCTCCTCACAGAGCTCCAACTACAGCAGAGAGGCCATGGACCCCATAGCAGGTCAGTCACACAACGCACACACACAGAGGAAAAGTCATGGTGTCATGGTGAACCCATGCTGAAGTGTGATGGAGGAGGTAGAGCAGTTCGTCCACTAATTAGAAGGTTGGCGGTTCGATCCCCGGCTCCTCCACGCCGCATGTCGAGGTGTCCTTGGGCAAGATACTTAACCCCCCAAATGCCCCTTATGGCTGTCCCATCAGTCTATGAGTGTTCGTATGAATGTGTGAATGAATGGGTGAATGTGGTAAGTATTGTAAAGTGCTTTGAGTCAGTAAGACTAAAAAAGCACTGTATAAGAGCAAGTCCATTTACCATTTTGATACAGGCAGTACAGACTCCCTCTGAGGCACGTAGTTGTAGAACAAGAAACTGTGGAGCCTGATGTAGGTTAGATAAAGACTATATTATTGTTAGTACAGCCAGGAATAAGACAATTATTTCTTGTTATTGTTAAATTCAGTATCACCCAGCTGCAGCTGCAGGAGGCCTGACGCACACAACACTAGTGCTCATTAATACAACAGACGTGTGGCTGTCATAAATAGCCTCATTTATTAAGTTGTCTTAATGTAATAGTTTCTCAGGCACACAGATAAATTACCTGCAGCAGTATAGATATTATACAAGGCTAGTTTGTATTTCGTTTGTGAACTTAAGGGTAGTCTGGTTAATACAGTAATGTGTGGACAGAGTTGTTGCTGTGGCAATTTCTTGTTTATCCTGTTCCCAATTTTAATCCGGTTCAGTGCTTGGCATTCGCCATGTCAGCTCCAGCTGTGCCATAATGAGGGTCCCTGTTCAGTCTGCTTCACAAACAGGGCACCAGCCTCCTTTTGAATGACCTGTGATACCTGCTGGACCGTCGATCTGACCGGTCCAGTTTTAGCTTTAAAACCTCACTGCCGAGGGTCTTCTCATACTGTACATGTGGGTGTTGTGCTACAGTACTGTGCTTTTTATTTGTGGATCAGAGGCTGTACAGCAGTCCTTCTAGACTGTTGCTCAGGTTTTAGTTCTGTGACAGCTATAGCTCATTAATGCTAGTTTTTAGGGAAAAAAACAATGTAGCCAATTTTAAATATTTACTCATCTTAAGTAAATAAAAATAATCTATGAAAACAGTTGCATTATTTGAACTAGCATCAGTATTATTTTATCAGAGCCTGCTGTCTGGTAAACTGGCGTACGGCCTCACACCTTTCTGAGAACTGGTTCTTCTGATCATCTCATGATCTCATGATGTCTGTCTCTTCTCCGTCTTGTTCCTCCAGAGCTTCTGTCCCAGTTGTCGGGGGTGCGGCGTTCAGCAGGCGGCCAGCTCAGCTCGGGTCCCTCGGCCTCTCAGCTCCAACAGCTTCAGATGCAACTCCAGTTGGAGCGTCAGCAGGCCCAGGCTGCGCGTCAGCAGCTGGAGACGGCCCGAAACGCCACCCGGGGCGGGGGCCGAGCCAATGCAATCCTCAATACCAATTCAGCCGCCACAAACCCCAACCCCAGCGCCAATCACAATACCAACCCCAGTCCCAACCCAGGTCCACCTGAGTCTAACACACAGCATACTGCACACAGCTCCCAGTTTCTACTCAGCAGGTGGGACTGTCACTCTCATTTTTTGCATCTACTTTAAATGTCTTTTACTTTAAAGTCCCCATCCACTCAAACGTGTTTTGCGGTTTGTTATTTCATTTGGATGTTTGACCTTCGCTGTGCAGAATTGTGTATGTGCAGTTTGACACATGAAAGCTCTTTTCAGATTCATCTGTTGAAGGATGAAAGTGTCTCTGTGCTCACTTTAACGGTGACCTGTGGAGTTCCTCTGTAAACAACGTTCCTTTTACATTCAGTGTTAATCATGTTGTGTGTAGTCGTCTAAAAGATGTGTTAAATCCGTTTCCTTCCTCAAAACATTTGCAAAGCTGTTGTTGAAACATTTTGAAACCCACATTGTTCACATCTATGTTCACTTGCTAGCAGTCCTGTTCTTACCTGTCTTTATTGACACATTGCTGCATTTCTTGGTGCATCACCGCCTCCTGTCATTCAGTGGAATAAAACAGTTGTAGTTGTGTATCGTGTCAAACACATGTGCTTACATATGACAAATAAAGTGTGGATCTGCTCATAAAAACATCACTCCAGACACCCATGGTCAAAAACTCCACAGGGCCCCTTTAAATGTTTAAAGCATGTATCTACAATTGTACCAATGGACGTTTTAGTGAAGTAGCAGTATAGCAATTAAACTAATGAAATGAAATTTAAGAATTTTTAGATCATTTTTATGTCTTGAGGGGAACTTTAAATTGTTCTTTTTTTTAATTCTCTACCGTCACCCAATTTGTCATGTACCTCTCTTCCTCTCAGCTTCGACATGTATTTCATTACTGTTTGATCTCTCTCCCGCAGGCTGAGCGAACCACGGCTGTCTGAGGCCGAGCGGCAGGCGTGCGAGGCCCAGTGGGCCGACAGGAGCCTGTTTGTGACGGAGCTGCTGCTGTCCACATTGCTGCCCGACGAGGACGCCTCTGCCTCCTCCTCCGAGGACGAGGACGACTGTCACGGCTCGTTGCGGAATTTCGCTGACTTCGAGGCCATGGGCTGTGTTGAGGTCATGACCTTGGACGTGGCACTGGAGAACCTCAACCTCAAGGAGACGACCCCGGCTACCAGGCCAACGAAAACGACGCCTAAAACAGCACCAACGAAGAAAGAGCCTCCTGCGCCGCCCCTTTGATGAAATGGCCACTCCCTCCCCTAAAACCACCATTGTAACTGGCTGACTGCTGAGTCAGTCCAACTGCCAATGGATGACAAAAAAGAGACTGCAGTTTTTTTTGGCTTTGTTTTATTTTATTTTTCTCAGTGATTGTCATTTCAGCTCTGTCGCTCCCCACTCAACCCCATGTTTATTAAGTTGTGTACATTGAATAAAAGTAGTGAGACGAGAGAATGTGAAAGCAAGCAAGCGTGGTGGGTGCGTGAGAGAAAGAAAAATAACTATATAAATATATTATAGAAAAATCTATATGAAAGTTGATAATCAATTCCACATAACCCGTGTTTCCTCTAGCAGATGAGCAAAGCGTAGTTAGCCGTTTAAGAGACAAACACGTCACACACTCACCCAGGGAGAGGAGGCAGACAGAAACCTCTCCAGTAAAAACGCTGCTGTGTATTTATAGTTATTAATTAAAGAAGTGCTTGGATGGTTTACCACAACTTAAGCATGAGCTTAAATCACCATGTGCCCATTTTTAACTGCACAGTCACCAGACGGGGAGGTCTTTCTCTTTTTGTTCAGACACCTGAGTAACTGTAAATTAACGGTGCTGAGTGCCACATCACTGGCATTTCTGCACCACACACACACACACACACACATACACACACACATACACACACACATACATACACACAAACACACACACACACACACACACACACACACATACATACACATACACATACATACATACATACACACAAACAGACTGAGGACTGCATTTGGTTACATTCATGTCCAGTCTCAGTTCCCTCCCCCTTATGTGACATCACCTGTTTTGGGTCATGTGACCTTGCTTTATATCGACTGTGGGCACTTTGGTTTTGAATTGCATATCCAGTGTCCATTTGTGTACACTACAGATGCTCTACATAAAGGCGATACACAACTCGGAGGCAAACAGAGATGAAACAGTCTCTTGTGTGACCATTTTCAGGCCTTTTCTAACATGGAAGAAACACAACAACCCTGGTCTTCATACGGTTGGTTGTTTTTTTTTTTGGTTTTTTTTTCCCCTCTCTTTCTCTCTCTGTCTGTCTCTCTGTCTCTCTCTCTCTCCCCTCTCTCCCCTCTCTCCCCTCTCTCCCCTCTCTCCCCTCTCTCCCCTCTCTCCCCTCTCTCCCCTCTCTCCCCTCTCTCCCCTCTCTCCCCGCTCTCTCTCTCTCTCTCTCTCTCTCTCTCTCTCTCTTATGGAAGACCAGATGCTACTTTCTCAAGCTTCCCGTGATTGAAATTAATCTTCTCTCCATTACTCTTGAATGCAAAGATTACTCATCATGTGACTTGAAGGAGAGAATCCTGTATTGCTCTTTCCATTAATTTCTCTCAGTCAAAAAGATCTTTGTATGCCTCCACTGCTACCTGAAGAAATGCAATGTATGTTTTTGGCTCAGCAAACAAGCCAAATCACAGGGTAAACCTTTCAGTTTGGAGGACAATAAAAATGTTTTGGATGGAAATGAACTAACCCAATTCTGCTCTCTGGTTTGTGTTTTAACTTCTTTTATTTTTTTTCTCAGTTGCTAACTTCCTGGCGAGCATGTACAGCATATGGTAAAAATAAACACCTATCTTACAGGTCAAGTTCAATCAGTTAGTCTTGTCATCTCCTGATGCATGTACGCACACACCGCTGCAGCGCAAGGTGAGATTAACCTGCTCAAATAAGTGCAGGTGATATTTAAGTAGACTAAAGTAACGGAGGACAGAAGACTCCAGAACAAACATGCAGTATCTCACTTTGGCTTCATAAGAGTGCTCCACCCATTTAGCATGTATAGAGAGTAGTGGTGGAAGTATTCACTTTATCTTAGTAAACATACTAATACCATTCTGTAAAAATACTTAGTCACAAGCAAATGTCTTTCATTTAGTATATTAACATAAGAAAAAGTATTGAAATATAATCTGGAAAATGTACGTAAAGTCAAATGTAAATGGCCCTTTGACTTGCTTCTATCATTAGATGACTTTTACTGATTCATTAATGTAAAAGCAGGATTTTACTATTGTAGCTGCTAAGCTATTAAGGCTGCAACCAATGATTATTTCTATTATTTTTTATTTGTTTTATTTTTATTTATTATTACTATTTCTAACAGACTGATTGTCTAGTTTGTTATAAATCAGAAAATAGTGAGAAATGCCTTTTGCCTCAACTTCATCATCAATAAAAGAAAAACAAAATCATTCGAGAAGACGGAATAATTCAATATTTGACATTTTGCATGAAAAATGACAAACGGTGTAAAAATAGCTATATCTTTGCCATCCAAAAACTCTGCCATAGCTGGGTCATGGAGACAGACCATGTAGGGCCAAAGAATCTCAGATATTGGAAGAAAAAGTCCACAATGTGCCTGAAATTAAAACACTGCTTCTAGCTTTTGGGGCATGTAAGTACATTCTTCACCTTGGGGAACAGTATGTGTAAGAAAGCAATTGGAGAAAACTTACTTGCTTTTTGGAGCTTAAAGCCTCAGTGGAACTCTTCTGAAGGATTTTCTTCCCTGGTCCCTGGCACAAATCCTCTGTAACATGGATCATGGGACTTTTATAAGTGTCTCAATATCACACACACGGTTGCATAGGTGGCTCTGTGAGAAGTGAAGTGTTTTTAGGAAGCCCACATATAACAACATTAAGCACAGGCTTAGCACAACACTGAGCTAATTCTTTGTGGTATGCCAAGAAAACAGTGGCATAAACTATCACATTTAGATTTATTCAAACCTCAGGGGAAAAAAGTATTTAAAAATATTTGTCGATGGGTGATGCAAATGATACAGACTATGTAAATGGACCACAGTGGAGAGACCACACTCAAAAAGATGAAATCAAACTAATATTCTTTCCTCCAAGGAGACAACAGAACTTGTGACTAACAAAGCAGATACTTGTGCCGATGGACATAAATTTAACACATTTGATTTTCATTCTTTTAGACTTTACCGATTGAGCCAAAACTGGAACATCACAAGTTTCTCCCCATTTAAGTTTTTTCCCATTTATATGTAAAAAGTAAGGCAATTTTTTTAAAAGTCACTATAAACCTGGAGCTGGGGTTAAGTGGACATCCAGTCTGATTCCTGAGACTTTTAATAGTTTACACACTTTATCACAACTTTCTGTTGTCAATTAATTTGCAACTCAAGAACCACAAATTAGAAAAATGGAGATTAACAGATGTAACCCCCCCACCCCCCCACCCCCTGCAAATACAGGGAGGTAATAGTTTCCAGTTCTTGTTGGTTACTGGTTTAACCAACATCAAATGGAAACCATTTATCCCATTGAATGTGTCAGTCACTCAAGCCAACATTTCTCAGCGTTACTGTAGAGACTTCTTAAATTAAACCCAGCACACACAGCCACATTATCTGGGAACTCTAAGTGCAATCTGTGCCAAGTCACTGAATTATTATCTCAGCTCAAAACCCTAAATAACAGCAGCCTGAAAAGATCTGGCAGATTCTTTCAGTCTTTAAAGAGGTTGGTAGCTGTAGGAAACCAAAGGCATGCAAAGTGGGAGGAAATGAGCAGAGACACAACCACAACATGAAATGTTTCAGGGCACAACATGCTGCCGATATACAGCTGCAAAACCAAAAAATAAAGTTAATATCAAGATGTCATAAAAAACTGTATGTTCCCAAGCACAACAAAAGAATATTTATATATTTAAATAAATGAGACTGGTATTAAAAGAAATATCACAGCCCAACTGATACAGGATATTTGAGGTAGATAAAAATATTGATATTTAACGGATTGAAAAATTTAGTAATGATATATTAATTCACCTCATTAGTTATCAGCACAGGTTCTTTTCATTTGCAGTAAAACACACCCAAACAATATAATTTGTAGTCGAGTACACCTTAACATTTAATACCACACACTTTGATTGCTTGAGAATCTATTTATTTGTTTTAACCTTACATTATTTTATATGGACTGCACACATTTTAACACTGCAGGGTTACATAGGCAATTTCTGTTATATTAATCATTTGTTTCTTTGTGTTGAGTTACAGTGGTTGTTGGGAGGTCCCTTCCTGGTGGAGCAAAAGTCATGGCTGAAGGCTGAGGAATCTGAAATCTGGGAGCCAGCTGACTGGGCCAAACCAACTGTTAATGCATCATGGGTGGAGGGAGGGGAGGGATTTTGGGTTTACTTAGTTTTGCTTAGTATTTCCTTTTAGTTGGTGTACATATTGTTTACCCCTTTGTGTGTTATTTGGTTTGGCCAACACACTATATATGTTTTTCATGTCTATATAAATGTCACAAAACATCATAGTATGTTAATTCATAAAAATGTCATAAAAACGTCAGCGTATAGTAAGGCATAGAATTTCAAAGAACGTCTTAGCATAATAAGGCATAAAAACGTAAAGTATAAAATGCCAAAAAATGTCATTGTATAGTATGGCATGAGATTACCCAAAACCGTCATAGTGTAGTAAAGCATAAAATTGTGATAAAATGTCATAGTATATTAATTTATAAAAACGTCAAAAACAGTCATAGTATAGTCAGGCATAAAAACGGCATAAAAAACTTCTTACCATAGTAAGGCATAAAATGTCAAAAAATGTCATAGTATAGTAAGGTACAAAAAAGTAAGTTAGAGTTGCCAAGGAACCTAATGTGCATGTCTTTGGACTGCGGGAGGAAGCCAGAGTACCTAGACCAAGAGGGTTCATACCACTGCGGCACCGTGCCGCCCAATAAGTAAGTCATAGTATATAGTAAGGCATAAAAACATCAAATTATAATGTGACTGCCACAGCCACAAAGGAGAATAACCACACGGGGTAATATAATTTCAATCCTTATTCACCTCATTAGTTATCAGCACAGGTTCTTTTCATTTGCAGTAAAACTATTTGCAGTAAAACTGCTATTTTTTATCTTTGTTTATATTTCTTTTCTTCCTAATATGTTTATTGTTATTATTGAGCACCAAAACACCAAGGCAAATTCCTTATATGTTGTAAAACCTACTTGGCAATAAACCAGATTCTGACTTTGTGATGTTGTGTTGGGTCAGTTTGTTCAGTTAAAATGTTGCTTTGTTGTTATCTTGAGTAAAGTGATATTATGTTGATGTCTTTTATAAGTCTAATTATTATACTCTTGTTTTGTAACATTCGGGTAAATAAAACCCCTGTTTTTTCAACAACATTTCCTGTGTTCTTGTTGCCTCACTGCTATACTAAGGACTAAAAACGTCATATTATACTAATGCATAAAATGTCATAAAAACATCATAGTATAGTAAGGTATAAAAATGCAAAAAAAAGAAAAAAAAAGGTAATAGTATAGTAAGACATATATATGTCAAAAAATGTCATAGTATAGTAAGGTATAAAAATGTCACAAAACGTCAGAGTATAAGAAGGGATGAAAATGTGGCAGTATAGTAAGACATAGAATGTCATATAAATAGTATAGAAAGGCATATGTCATAGTATAGTAAGGCAGTAGTATATTTAGACATAACATTTCAAAAAACATCTTCGTATAGTAAGACATAAAAACGGTATAAAAAAGTCATAGTATAGTAAGGCAAAAAATTTCAAAAAACATCTAAGTATAGTAAGGCATGAAAAAAGGCATAAAA